GTCTGTCATGATAGCTTCAAAATAATTTTGTATTGACGAAAGTATGATCCCCTTTCGTGGAAGGCTAAGCTTTCGTCAATATATAAAAGGCAAAAGGCATAAATTTGGAATTAAGGTTTTCAAATTATGTTTGAAAGGAGGTTATACTTATAAATTAAAAATTTATGCCGGCCTGGAGAAGCAGCACAACGAACCTGTTGCTGATAATGTTGTTATGAGTCTCTCGAACAATGTACTAGATTCTGGTCGTACATTATATGCGGATAACTGGTATACAAGCGTTGGTTTAGCTAAAAAACTTCAAGAAAGGCAAACACACCTTGTAGGAACACTAAGGAAAAAAAGACGGGATAACCCAAAAGAAGTGGAGGAAAAAAAATTAGCAAAGGGAGAAATCTTTGGCCGACAAAAAGGTTGTATATCAGTTATGAAATGGAAGGACAAGAGAGACATTCTCTTTCTTTCAACCAAACATAACGACGAACTAGTTCACGTGAACACTAGAATTGGTGCTCGAATAAAACCAGCTGCCATTGTAGATTACAATGCTGCTAAGTCATACATAGATATCTCGGATCAAATGACAGCGTATTCGAGTTCTCTACGTCGTACTGTCAAATGGTACAGAAAAATTGCGTTGGAAATATTGACAGGAACTTCAGTAGTCAACGCATGGTTGTTGTTCAAACAGGTCAACAAACAATTATCCTTGACGAAATTCAAAGAGAATTTATGTATACAGCTCATGAAACTTGAAAATGAAAATGATGTTACTGGACATACGAGATATCAAAAACACGAACTTATAGAGCAGCAAAAAAGAAAGAGATGCAAGGAATGCTATCAGACACTTTCAAAAGAACACGATCGCCGTTATGCAATAAATAACAGTAAACAGGTACTGTTTGCTTGTCAGGGATGTGAAAATCTTCCCCACTATTGTGTAAAATGTTTTTTCAAAGTTCACACAGCAATTAGAAAATAAAAAAAATGATCGAAAACATTTTAGGGATTCAAAAATTTTGTTGTTATTTTGTTTGAGTTATACACTATTACCTACGTTGTATTGGAATCTTTATTATGTTACGTTTAAAATATAAAGTCACTAAAATGTATTTTACCGCGAATTTATTGATAACTCCTTCGTATTTTTATTTCCTAAAACCAAATGGAACATAAGTAGCTGTACGCCGGCCGAAACCATTTATACTTTAAAATACATAGGAAGCGTGAAAACAGGCTATTCACACAGCGTACAAGCACAAAATAGCTGTGCATAATATATATGCACATGGCGCTGGTATCTTTACTGCTGTGCATAATATATTTGCACACGGCAGTTAACGTGTTAAGAAATAATGCAATCCCCAAAAGAAGAATAAACATTGGAAGTAATGAAATCATTCCGTTATATGACACATCCCACCTTTTAAAAGGTATACGAAATAATTTACTGGAGAAAAACCTGGTCTGGGAGAAAGATGGGCAACTATTAACCGCTAAGTGGAGTATTGTCGAAAAAGCCTATGATATAGACTCTGGTAGCGGCGAATTTAGGTTATTACCTAAAATTACGGCTTTTCATATTCGACTAAATAAAATGAAAGTGTCCTGTGCTGCTCAGGTTTTCAGCCACACAACAGCTGCCGCTATAGCATACATGTCCAAAACAAGTATGTAATAATTTACATTATAAATTAAAATAAATTATTTTTTAACCCTCTTTTTTAATAAGTATGTATTTTTGAGACGCCACTGGTGTTACGGTCGAAATAATAATGGAAACGCGCACATGACACAGCAAGCATATTAAAAATTTTTTGATGGACTGTTTGACAGTCATAATGGAGGATGCCGTAGACCTTCTGGTAAACCTCTCCGTGGTGCGGTTTCCCAAAAATCGAACCATATTACATTTTGGAACGAGTCAAGAGGTAATTATTGCACATTAATCTATTATGCAAAACAGTAAACAGCATTATGAATAAGATTTCTCTTTGATAATAATTATCGAATATATTTTAATTCAATTATATATTTTATAGATATGCTTCAAAAAATGTATTTTCGTAAAGAGGGGTCCACGGAAAAAGCGGTACATTGTTACGGTTCAATTTTTGTTTCCTTTCGGTACTTTGAATTTTGTTCGGGATTTATGTTATTTGTTTCTCTTTTCTTCATGTTGGAGGGAAATTTGGGTTGCATATTTGCGGGTTTTGATATATTTGTGTTTATTTGAATTAATTGTTTTGTTTTGTTTATTTTGATTTCTTTTGCAGCAACGATCTCGATTCCTAAACTCCCCAAATCCCTTTAATCCTTTCAGATAATTTTCTTTTCCTTTTTCTTGATTTCTTTTCTTCGTTTTTCGTTCTGTTTTGGATGCGTATTGAGAGCGCAGGTGTAATTTTTTTTGGCCCTTTAAATTTTTATTTTAAAAGCATTGTCGCTTACATCTGGAGCCTCTCTTTCTGGTGGAACCAGTGACTATACACTGTGGTGCAAGGTGATTCAGGCATTTTGGGTTCTCGCCATTTTTGGGTTTTGAAAAATTTTTGCCTTTTCGTGAATTTTCGGATTCATCACCACTGCATATCTTTTGAAATCGTGGTTTCACGTTTCAAGACATCGGATTTTTCCGGATATTGGGTGTATTTTC